GCGGAGAAGTTCTCGGCCTCGGGCCCCGATCGGGACCCCCACCGGCTCAACTCGCATCTCCAGGTAACACGCCGCTCTAGCCAGGAACTCGGGCCTGAGGCCGACCTGAACCCCCGCCGCCTGGTCCCGTCCTCTCTACCCGCGCCCCTAACCCGGATCAACCCCGCGGGGCTGGGGCTCCCAAACCGCCCTCCCTGGGCCTCCTGCATCGCCAGGGACCCTGAGCCAGATTCCGGTGCGCCCGCCTTGACCATTAAAGAAGGTGCCAACGCCCTGGTCCAATCCCTGCCTTCTTCCTTCTCCCTCCTGAAGGCCGCTGGCTCCGGCGACAGCAGGTGGGGTGACCGTTTTGGGGGGTTCCCCGCGCTTTGTCTTGGCAGCTGGGCTTCCAGGATGTGATCGCTGAGCCCGAGACTACACACTCCTTTGACAAAGTGTGGATCTGCAGCCATGCTCTCTTTGAGATCAGCAAGTACGTGCTCTACAAGTTCCTGACCTTCTTCCTGGCCATCCCCCTAGCCTTCGCTGCAGGGATTCTCTTCGCCATCCTCAGCTGTCTGCACATCTGGTGAGAAGGGGCACGCTGGGTGGGTCGGTTTCTGATACGTTGGGATGTTTTGCCACCTGCCCTTGCCCCCCACCCCTCCCCACCCCTTTCCCTCCCATAGGCCTCAGCTCCCAGAGAGAAGACTTAGTAGCAAATTTGGGGAGGTCTTGAAAGGCAGTAAACTCTGTTAGAATAGTAGATTAGGTTCGGAATTTAGACCAAGCTCGGAATACTCGTCTTTCCTCTGGTGTCTTGAGTGTGGAGGTAGAGACCTGGAGGCCATGCTTCCCAACACAGCCTACTGTCTCCTACCGCCCTGTTGTGACTTGTGCCCATGGTTCTGGGCAGGCCTCTGGTTTCTTTCAACACCTTTTATTCAGTCACCACCTGTGCTTGGGGTAAAACAAAAGTGATCTCTAAGCAGAATGCCACTGGCAGCACTAATTGGGCAGGGAGGGCAGACTTGCTTAAGCCCTGCGATGGAGGGGCTGATAGGATCCTGCTATGAGCAGGGCTGAGACAGGAGGGGTGTCAAGGTGTGCAGTTCAGGCTGGGGGGCCTCCAGCACGTGGATGGAACCCCAGGCCATGCTGGGTCAGGGTGTGAGGAGGCCTCTAAACGAGGCACCGAAGACAGTGGTGTTCAGTTACAGAGAAAAAAATCGTGAAGACTCATGGGACATCATCAGCACATTTTTGAATAACTTTATTGCACCCAGAAGACATCATAAAATTTGGAGCACCTTTTTCAGCATTAACAATGTTTTAAAGGGGAAAATGACATCTTTTTCTAGGAAGCATTTGTTGCTGTTTTCAAAGTCACATATCCCCAATCAAACTAATATCACTGTGTCCTTCTTAATCACTTAATCAAAGGGCCAAAAAGGATAAAAATTAAACAATTTAAAAAACAAGTTAAGGATAAATAAAGTGCACCGATTTAAATAGATCACCAAAGATTGTTGGCAATTAAACTATGTTGAACTGCCAAACAACTATCAGATAAATAAATGTGTTTTTCTATGTACATGAACGGGTCCACAAAGCTCCTATAGTTTTGTCGGAATTATAATTATCCCCTATCCTGACATTTGCGCACATTCTTCAAAGCCAGCACATTAAAATTTTAGAGTCCACTTTAACTAGCAACTAATCTCATAACCTCTATATTGGTTTTCTCATATTCAAAAATGTGAAGAACAGAGTATGACCACATAGCATGTTGTGAAATGCTGGCTGTGAAGCTATTTGGAAATCCAAACTACCGTACTTAGAATCAGTGTGTTCAGCTTTCCTTCAGCTCTTGTGGAAGAATTGGGAGTGGGGGCAGGAGGGAGGCAAAGCAAATTGTAAAATTATTATGCACCAAATGTTGATCTCCCCTTGGTTCTCCTGAAAGCTAGGGAGTGCTTTCATGCAGAACTTCCATTGGTCAATAAACAAACACTTCACTTTCAGCCACAGAAAAGGTGAACTCCCGCATGTTTTTCAAATTACGTTAATGTGGAACATTAATATTTAACTGCCACATATTTCTTATCAGCTATTACAAGTCAGGGACTAATTCAAAATAAACCAACCTCCAGTTAGTTTAATCTTGATAAGATGGGTATATCATTAATGGATGACATTCCCATGATAAAGGAAGCCCAGTTCAAGGGGAGGTCTATAAAAACTAACCCAGTTGGGTAAAGATCTTGTTTTGTGTTTTTAAAATATTATTATTATTGTTGTTGTTGTTGTTATTTGGTGAGGCTGCAGTATGAGGGGTGGGCTTATGGGCAGTAGGGTGTTTATTATTTTACCAAGAAGTTAATGATCAAAGCTATCAAATCACAAACCAATGGAACACCAAACCAAGCCGCAACATCATGATGTTTCAGATTTGAAACTCTTTCAACAAACAAAAACACGAAAACAGAGCCCAGGCTGATCTGATGGTGTTGGATCTTAAGCTGGATGTACAGATTCTAGAGGGATCCACAAATTGGACTGATCCTGCACCACAGGCAGACTGAGATCGCAGAATATTGGTCATAGTGGATCATACCAAAGATATGTGACTGGAGCCCCCACACCCTTTAGTGTATTTAGAGGGGGACTTAGTGCATGTAGATATAGAAACTGCTGGTAGAAAGGCAGTAGGTACAAACTCTTATCTGTAAGAAATCACTTTTTAATGCAGCAAATGGCTGTGACCATGCAATCTATGGGACACCAATTGAAATCATCTCTGTCCTAAGAGCTTTGTCACCCAGGGGAGGTACACCTATAATCTTCTAGGTGATAAGATGCCTGAAGGGAAAACTTTTGGATATTGCCAACACAATTGGAATTTGCTATCCCTGATCCACAGTGAGAGAACAACCCTCTGAAGTAAACAAAAGTAAAATGCGTTCGCCACAGGCAGCCCTTGAATGGAAGTTCTCCCAGGTGAGCAGCTGCACTTTGCTGAACTGGAAAGACCACTTTGGTGAGGTGCTCCTTCCCTCTTAGTATCCAGAGGGGCGAGGAATCGCAGGGCTTGGAAAATTCTTAGCCTCGGCTAGAGTAGAAAGGGCATCTTCTTGGACTGGAGTGGATTTGGTTGTGAAACTCTCACCTCTAAACTGGTGTCTCTCCAAATGTCAATCTGTGATTATTTTGTTATCATTATCTTCATGATGTAGTCGGACCTCAACATCGTTCCATGTAGTATTCATTAGCAGGACAACACCACAGGGCCAGTGCAAGGGTGCATAATAAATTCATCCTGATGGCCAGCATCTGTATGATTTCCTGTCTTCCTGTCTTGTACTAATTTGCCCAAGGCCACTTATCATGTGAGAGGCATAATGAGACAAGAAGGCAAAAGCTGCCATCAAGCAGATTTCTGTTTGCTCAGACTGTTAGTCCTGAGACACCCAGTCATCCCGTTCTTATAAGACTGCTTACTGTATCTAGCACTTAAAACAAAACACAAGATAAATATAGTCTATGCAGACAGTCAGTATGAATAATTCAGTGTACTGAAAACAGATTAATTAATCAGACTTTACCTGATCTTTCCTTGAGTGTGGGCTATCCACAGTAGAAGGCTTATTTAAGGCACAATTTAACAGCAAACCTAGAAAATCAACCTTACTCTTTTGTGCCCACTCCCCCACCCCCCACCAGATGATAATAAAGATCCCACTGAGGACAGAGCACTACATGAAAAATCTCAAATACATTTGTGCTCAAACAGCACTACAACTGAGAACATTAAGAGGGTTACACTTTTCTAAAAAGCCAAGAGTAGATATACACTCTGACAGTTACCAGGGATGAGGAGTGGATGGTAGATAGTGGTCAGATAGACAAGTGGTAATTCTGACAGTATGGAAGAACCCAGCCAAGAACAACTTGGCCAAGGTAAATAAAGACACTGACAGGTACATGAGAGTCAACCGCAACTATGTAAATACTATAACAGAATTTTGCATCAATAGTAAAAACAAACAAAAAAGCATGTGAGTGGCTACCTAGATAGCTATGTATGCTATATGAGTGAGATAGTTTATTGTGCCAGCCTGGCTGATAAACACAAGTGGGATTGACTGAAGGGCAGAGAGATAAATGGCTTGGTGAGCCTTGCCTTTCTTGTCTCTTGCTCTATGATCATCGGACCAGTGTGCAGCTGCCTTGCTTGTTCTGTGCCTCAATTTAAAGGCTACACTACCTGTGGGATGCCTAGCCTGTGGACTGTGTCGCTGTGAGTTGAGGTCCCTTTAAGACATCTCTGGACTGGCGGTTGGTGACCTGCCTTGTGATTGGCTGCTGTGCTGACATAGCCTAGTTCTCTCTACAAATAGAGGAAGATCTGGCATCAGACTAGACTTGAAGGACTGCTGGTCTCTCAACTTTCTCTCACGGACGTGAGTTGCACTGAGCCATTTGTAGTGCTTACTAATTTAACTGTTTATTTCTTGTATTATATATATATCTGTATATGATTTAACAGTTCATTTCTCATTATATATCTAATTATCTTTATAAATAAATATATTAAATTATCAGCAATTTGGTTTTATCTCTACCCTGTCTAACACAACGAGTGTGGGGAAGTATATGGAAGTGCGCACATGTGCATATATAGGTATGTTTAGTGCATAGATAGGTGGAATGTGAATATACACATTTGATTGTGCTGCATATCTATTTACATATACAATCGAATACTTAGCACAATTGGAGCTATTTCCTGGAAGCATCCAAACAATTCATGAGATTGATTTGTTGGGTTTGAAGGCTCATGATCATAGTCTCATGGGACAGCCAGGACAATTAGCATAACTTAGATCCAGGACAATTAGCATAACTTAGATCATAAACGTTTACATCCTTGCTTAGTGAGTAGCACCTGGGCTTTTAAAAGCTTGCCAGTGTCCATCTAAGATACAACTCTGGGTGTCTTCCCACACAGAAGTATACTAAAGAAGAGTGAACCCAAGACTCAAGGAGGAAGCTAGCACACAGGACTAATGACCCACTGTAACCATAGCCTCTAAAAGCCTGAGACCAGAAGAACTAGTGCCCAACTACCACTACCTACCATTTCTGATCAGACACACAGTACAAAAGAACAACAACAAAAAATAGAATAAACTCAAATTCATACAAAGGCCTGATTAACTGGAAGAATAAAGACTAGGGGAGTCCCCAGACTATCACCCTGTGGGAGGTACCCTTTTGCCCTGGAATTTAGCGGCCTTTGAAGATTGCCTCTCAACCAAGTAATAAATTGACTTCTAAAATAAACAATTACACCTGTGGGGCATCTGATCTTTTAAGGAATAAACTCTATACACCCAGTCAATATGTACCCAGAAATAAAGACGCGAAGCCAAGGAGAGGTAGGGAAACAGGTTGGATGGCAATGGGCTAGGTGGGGTGGAAATGAGTGCTGACACATTGCAGGGCTTGCAATCAACATCACAAAACAATTGGTGTGTGAATTGCTGAGTAGGCATCCAATCTGCCATGTAAACGTGCACCTGAGATCAAATAAAAATTTTAAGAGGATTACATAGAAATTAACGGGACAGGAGAAGACAAGTATAAGCAATTATCTTGGGACAAGGCATACAGGAAAAATAATGGCAGGAAAACCTAGTTCTTCTTGTTTAAGAACTTTTGTCATGAACTTCAGGGCTCTTTTTACTACACAGCCCCTTCCAATGTGCAGGGTGGCAATGAAGAATTATGGATATAGAGCCTAACAAAAATGCTACATGCCTTTCAGCTCAAACATGAACTACATACAGGTCAAGGATGTCCTCACTGTAAGAGCTCACATGCCAAGAGGAACATGGATGTGTAAGCATCTATTTATGATAGGTGCTGGCAAATTTGAGAACTAAGTTGGAGCTAGTGTTTCTGAAACACCAAAAAGGAGTATCCAACCCATTCTGCTCCCAAAGGGAGGGCAGTGGAGAGAAGCTCCCAGAAGAGCTACCAGGAAGTAGCTTCTCTTCTCGGGGAAATTGAAGAGTTGGGCAAACTTGATGGTTAGGGATAGGGAGCAGGTGGATTTATATTATTATTTGGTGAGTTGTGTTTTTCTGATTTACATAATGTGCACCAAGAGGAAGATTAGTGTTTGTCATTTACATGGCTGTTGTAAAAATCTATATAGGTTCTGTGCATTTTATCACAGTGGGATAATTGTTCATTTATTTGTTTGAATGTTCCAACACATTTAGGTGAATGTGGTTATTACATCTGTCCATGCGTGAACAATAGTCAGTGGCTCTATTTGGTGGCACTAATAACGCACACATCTCTCTCCCTCCATTCCAGGATTATAATGCCTTTTGTAAAGACCTGCCTAATGGTCTTGCCTTCAGTGCAGACAATATGGAAGAGCGTGACAGATGTTGTCATTGCACCATTGTGCACAAGCGTGGGACGCAGCTTCTCTTCTGTCAGCCTGCAGCTGAGCCAGGACTGAGGACGTGGACCCCAGTCTGGAGTTGGAAACTGTTAATACGTCTTTGTTGTAATAACACAGAAGCACTCCTGTTATGTTCACTTCCCAACTGTCTAATTAAGGAAACCATTAAGAGGGGCAACAGCATGTAGAAAGGTTTATTGGCAAATCCTCTCCAATAATGCTCTTCAAATTAATAGACAAGAATTTCCTCCCTAACTGTAGAGCCAGAATCATCCAGTAGGTTGGCAACGCTCTGATGTTAAAGGCAGACCATTCTTGCTCTCATGCAAATGTATCATTTTTTGTGGTGGTAATTTTATAGTGATCAAGGGACATTTCTCTTCAGGCACAATTATTTTCTGCACAATTGCTAATAAAAACATGAGACCTTTCTTTTTTCTCTTTTAACTCGCTGAGTAGAACTTTTTAAATTACATTTTCAGATAGTCTTATAACAGCGAGAGCGAGAATATCGTAATATCCTAGGATCACAGTCACAGCAGCATTGTAGGGTGGTGAGGGCTATCAAATGGGATAAAACAAATAAGTGAGGAAATAGATCCCTGAACATGGGTCCTTTAACTAAGGTGTTGTTAACCTACAGGCCTATTTAACAAGGTTTTTGTCTTACTGTATATTTTGTATTTAATGTAAATGTTGCTCTAATCAGATTGCTCTAAAGCACTTTTATTATATGTCATATCTTGTTGAAATAATATATAGAACAAGCAAATCTATCTCCCTCAAGGAGCTTCACTGGTGAAATTGCACTGTCTTGATTATGTCAGCATAGATACCTTATTTGGGAAGAGAATGTAAAGGTCAATACCCAATGATCTGCGGCATAACTTTACCTGAATGCGTTTAAAAATCCTGGAGCATTTTAGAACTAATGTGCATCCAGTCATAATCTGAAAATAACCCACACCTGATTGGTATTTTGCCATTGAAGCGCTGCTTTCTCTCGTCATTAGAAATGAAACCTGTGTTTTTGCATTCCTGTTAATGTTTCACTTTACCGTCAAGTGATTTTGGTGCTGTCTAATAACATTTAACAAAAAAGGCTCTTTCTAGCACTTAGTACAATTGTAAGCTACAAGAAGAGACGACTAAATCCACACTACTGAGCTACATCCACAAATTAAAAACTAACAACCACAGACTTTAATATGTTGTCTGATAGGAGTTTTGTGACACGGCGTAAAGTTATTTCTATCACTTTTGAATGGCAGAGTTCTGTTTCTGTGTTACAAGTCATTGTTGTTTTTAAAAGGCCCATGATTATGAAATGACAGGCAACTACCAAAAATGTCTTTGAGGCATGTGTTTTTGAAACAAGTTTTCGATAATGTAACCATCTTGAATGTGTGTACTTCGTAAATGCTCAAATTTCTGAATCTGAATTCACATTCCTTTGGAGATCTTTATTAGTAAGAAAGCTTCATCCAATGAAAACCAGTTTGATTTTTCAAAAGATCCCTGAGTGGTCAATATAAAAGTTTAATGAACTGGAATACTCTTAGGGACCAAGCGGCAAATGGCTAAATTAGGAAACTCTGCTTTTGAAAGTAGTTATAAAAGAGACCTATGAAACTGCTTTAGACCACTGTGGCCTCTTCAGAAAGACTCACAAGGTCGTTCATGGCCTACTTACTGCTGGAGCAATGCCTCTCATTTCGTTCGTTACATAGGTTCTGTTAGGTGAACTCAAAAAGTCAACCAGTCTCATGATTTTATAGCACACCTTGTATTTAAAATGGTTTGTGAAAGGTTTGGATGTGGTGATTGGCCAAAAGTATTTGATGAATCCAATAGTTACTGTAATAAATCATGACGCTCTGTCTTTTCAAATAGCTTCCAGCAAGTCTTAAAGTCTAAATATATTCACCTATAACAAAACTTTCTAACCTTTCACAAGTGATCATATGATTTCCTAATATCTGAACAGTATTGATTCCTTCACAAAGGATTTTTATTAAGATGTTGTAGTAACTGTTTTACGTCAACAACTGTTTTACTTCAACAACTGTTTTACTTCAAACTTCAAGTTGATACCAATGGGTCCAGGTTTCACATGGGGTCTTTTTACTGTTTGAGGGGGGGATAGGTAATGAGGACACTTCCTCTGTATTCATAATAAATGTTCCAAAAACCCCACAAACTGTGTTGTGTGCTTTCATTACTTGTAGAACAAATCATTAAGAACCTTTTGAAATGAGATTTTACCATCTTAAAAACTCATCATACATAATAAACACATGAGTGAATACTAATCCTGGGAGGTATTTGTGGAAAATAACAGGATTGCTAATTTAACTCCATTTTTCAACCTTTAAAGAGCTTCATTACATAGTTTTCTGACAGTTGTTGATTAGTATGAAATGGCCTGTTCGCAAACCCACAATACTCTAGCTTCTTTGGAGGTAGTCTCTTCTTGCTAATCCTAAATAAACATCTTATTTCTGTTTTCAATTTTTGAAATAATAAGTTAATAACAATATAAATCAAATGCACTTGGATATCTTTACCATGAATCCAGAGGAGAAACCAAAATTACTCTTGGAAAGTGAGCATGTGAAGAGTTATTGCTGATGTTGGCAAACCTTTCTTCTGTCAGTTAAATCTGGGAAAATGACCAACCTTAAATAATATAAAGCAGGTATTTGCCTTTTTTTCTATCTTTTTAAAATGAGCTTAAGTCCCTCTTTGAATACTGACCCATATACCATTGGTTTATTTTTAATAAACAAAAAAAAAAGCAAATACAGATTTCCTTTCTCAGAAATCTGTTAGTGTCTAGGAGGATGATCCCTGCTCTCTGGGTGAGTCACATCTGGATTCTACTCTCAGTTATATCATAATTGAGGGGTGTCACCACCAGAAAATGGTTTATCTCTAAGCCCTAGTTTTCCTATTTTTAATGAAAGGATCTTTTCAACTGGACCGGTAAGCAACGTCGTGATAAACAAGAAGAGTGAAGGTGTCGCGGCATCATCACTCATGGACACCTGTCAAGAAATCAGATGATGTATGGCATTGGAGGAACCTGCTGCAGGAGACCTCATTGGGGTGTTAAAGAGCAAAGACGTCGCTTTGAGAATGAAGGTGTTTCCAGACCCAGGGTATATTATTTTCAAATGCCTCATATGTATGTCCAAGTTGGACAAAATTGAAGAAAGACCAAAGAAGAATGGATGTCTTTGAATTGTGGTATTGGTGAAGAATATTAAATAATACCAGGAAACAACCAAATCTGTGTTGGAGGAAGTAGAGCCATTAGGATGCTCCTTAAATGCAAAGATGGGGAGGCTTCATCTCTTGCATGTAGGACATGTCATCAGGAAGCACCAGCTCCTGAAGAAGACATCATGCTCGGTACAGTCGAGGGTCAGCAAAAAAAGGGGGAAGGACCACAATGAGATCTGTTGACAATGTTTGCAATGGGCTCAAACAGGAGCAGTGTGAGAATGGTACTGGACCGGCAATGCTTCTTCTTAGGAGTCATTAAGAGTTAGAACCAAGTCAATAGCACCTGCCAAGAAAAGGGTTAAGTCAATGAACCTCCAAGATGCTTCCTGTATTAGTCTAGGTACTTTAGAGAAGCAAATCCACAGTAACTCATGTATAAGAGTTTTATGTAAAGAAAGTGTGCATCACGAAAGCATCCCAACCCAATGCTGCCCAAGCCCACAAGTCCAACATTAACCCATGAACCCAACACCAGTCCACAAAGTCCTCCACCTCACAAAACAGAGGCAATGATGCCGACTGCAGGAGGAAAGCTGAGTCAGTGAACGAACAAGCATCTCAGCACTAGCAGGGGTCTCCACACGGCTGCTCCAGCACCCAGGGCTGCATCGGGATAAGTCCATGTGGCTTCTCCTTGGGGATGTCTTGTAGGAAGTCAATCTTGCAAGCTGAAGCAGGGACTGCTAAGGCAGCTGCACCCTGGTGCGACCATCACAAAGCAAGAGACCCAAGAACTAGAAAGGCGAGGCTCACCGAGCCATTTATCCCTTCGCCTTTCAATTAACCCCACATGTGATTATCGGCCAGGTTGGCACAATTAACTAACACTTCCCATCACATTGTTTTCTGCAACTTCACTAGGACATATATCTGGCTGGGTATGTGCAAGCCAGTGTAGCTGACATATTCAGATGTCTTTACAAACCAGTAAACTATCTATTTGAGAGTTGGTATGCTATAAACACAGGAACTAAAGACTGCACTTTTCACTCTGGTTGTGAGACAGTGTATGTGACTTTGGCTCTTCATGACAAGGATTCCTCAAAGTTCAATTCTGTCTTTATTACCGTGATGGTTTCTACAAAATAGTATGTTGTGCCTATTTTAAATTAATCAATTTGTATTCATTTGGGAGATTTGGGCAAAGCTGTTGTTACATTGCCATCATCATGGCCATCATAAACTTTCGGCATTCGACTCCCTCCCTATAATGTCACTCCTCTTGCCCTAGTGGTCAGCCTAGCTCCCTCCTCTTACCCCAAATCGACACACTTTTGGGAAGTTTTTCCACTCAACTAGTCACACTCATATTAAGTGAATATAAAGTGAGTATCTTCATATAAATTCTCATACAAATCCCCGTTATCACTTAAAAACTCAAAACCCAATGAGACAGAATCTATTCTGATTCACAAATTCAAAGCACTGTCATGGACTCACTCATTGCCATCAAATCAATGCCAACTCATAGTGACCCTGTCTGACAGAGGAGAACTGCTCCTGAGCGTCCCTGAGACTGTCACTCGTTAAAGGAGTACAAAACCCTGTCTTTCTCCCTAGGAGTGACTGGTGGTTTCGAACTGCTTAATTTACATATCACAGCCCGATGTGTAACTTCTGTGCCACCAGGCCTCTACCACGGTCCAAATAGCGTTTCTGAGACTGTCAGTCTTGATGGGAACATCTAGGCCCAGCTTTCTCCCTGTGGAATGACTCCTGGGTTTGAACCACTGATCTTTGGTTAGCAGCCCAATACTTATCCCACAAAGCCACCAGGGCTCCTTTACTTAGTACACTGCAAATATAGCCCTATTAACTGAACCTCCAGACTGCTGGTTACATCTTTGAAGAGAAAAAAACATGAGCTCACCATTGTCTCCTGGGATTCAAAAATGGTATCCAGCCCTTGATAAGCTCTCAACCAGTATTTCTGGGTGAATGACTACATGAATAAATAATGGAGAAAAACCAATATTTTTACTAGGACTTGAATAAGGAACACAAGAGTAATTAAAGCTCTTGGCTGCAAACCAAAAAGCTGGCATTTCAAACCCACTGGCCCCTCTCTAGGCAAGAGCTTACATAAGATGACAACCTTGGAAGCCCTATGGGGCCGCTCTACCCTGTCCTTTGGGTCATTATTAATTGGAACCAACTTGATTGTGTTGCATTGGATGGATTGGAGTAGGGTTGGTATCAGTTTGCATAATTCTTTTCATTTGCAAGAGGGATTTGAAATGGACTGACGAATAAAAATTTTCACCTCACCATTTTATTACTCATGAATTATTAAATTGATGAAATTAAGATGTACATAAACCAAGTCTGATGTATTCCATCCCCTGGCATAATGCCTGTCAAAGTCCCAATTTTCTTACCTGAAGTGTATTTTCAGATCTTCCAGTTGGTTGGAAACAAACTTTCAAGTGTCTTTAAATGGTGCTATTTCTTTGACTCTTTCTGCTCCTCATTTTGAAATTTGTAAACACCAAACACTATTTTCATAGAATTTTACATTTTAGAAAACCTGGGCCTATACTTTATCTAATATGAGTCCTAGGGTGAGCTAAATAGCACTGTGGTAAAGCAATACAAAGCATGCAGCTCAAGTGTTTTGTCTTTTTTAACTTGCGTCTCCCTCATTTTAGAATGTGTTTATTTAAGACAAGAGCTCACAGAATTTTCACAGGATTATACATACTTTAGGGAAAAATACATATAGTGAGCATTGAGCTCCATGAAAAATTACTGCCAGTAATGTAATTTTTCATAAATCAAGATTTCCTCCTTTCAAGATGTAAAAGGAGGCTTTCAAAAGTTCATGGGGAAAATGGAATTAAAAGGTAATAGACTCATTCCAGGAACGTGTGGAAGCTCCCTCATGTATGTGTGGATGGGAAAACGGAGAGTGGGAAGAAGACGGAGCAGAAGGTGAGGATATACTGTCTCCGCTTTATGATTTTTAGAACTAAGCATGATTAGGCTTATTTCACCTATCATCCTAATTCCTTCTTCCTTTCAGCCTGAAATGATCAAAAGAAGTCACCCCCTGTGATTTGACACTATTTTTGCGTTCACTCCTTGCTTCTTGCGTTGGACGACGTGTGGAATGTCGCCTTTGGAAGCTGACACCTTGAGGTCTATCTAGGTGGGAGATCACCTTGATGTCCTTAGTGGGGGATCCGATTAATCTGTGAGCTGGAGTCTGTTAGCTTGACTGCGAATGGAGACTCCCAGAAGTGGGCATTGGTTGGACATTAAGAAAAGGACTCAGGCATAGGGGGCCTTGGAAACAGATGAGAGCATCATCCACTGATTAAAAGAGACCTCCGGGAAGAGGCACCCGGAGGGTCCAAGGACAGGAGTTCACCCTTCACAAGTTTGCAGTGGGGCCATGAAGACACAGAAGGCAGTGGAAATGGAGTAGGGGTGAAGGGCGATGAGGTCAGCTCCCTGCTTTTCCTTTTTTCCACAAAGAACAATTGTCCTCTTCTTAATGAGTGAAAGGACACCTGGGGAGGGGCCTGGGGGCGGGGCAGGAGCCCTGGACGCTGGAGACAGTGCAGAAGAGGAAAAGTTAAAAGAACGCTT